TATAAATGACCCAGACACCTTTTTTCTTGCCCATTGGCCACGCATTCGAACACCTCAAATTGCTTTTGTCCAGAAACAACTAGATAGGTTAAACGTAAAAATTCGAGATGTGATAGCGGCACAGGTTACAAATCAAATTCTTCAGACAGAATTCGATGAGATTTTTCTCTCTAAGCCCCAATTGCCGTCCTATATGGTCTTAAATAGCCGACAGCAGGATTATTTTTGCACACGCAGACACATATATTATATAGCCACAGATGTTTTAGTAATGGATGAAAGGCAGGTGTAGGTACATACTACCATTCGCTTGACTGGTCTTTTTCATTAGGATTAACGGATTTCACCCCAGTTTTTGAAGCTGAACTGTTGGCAATAGTTCTAGCGCTGCGAAGGCTACCTTTGAATGCCGCTAACGCAATCATAATCCCGGATTCCCTGTCAGTATGTACGTTGATTACGGCGTCAACAAAATCGATGGCCTTAAAGACGCTCCTTATGCTAGTTCCTCCTCAGCTGCAGCTACTGAAATTAGTATGGGTACCCGGTCATTGCGGCTTAGAAGTAAATGAAATCGCCGACTCTCTAGCACGAGCAGCATTGGAAGGGCCAGTACTGTGAGTCCTTCACGAAGTGGCCACTATAACTGCGTCAAGATACAGAAAACTTGCGCTTAGTGCAGACGCTATGGAAGCAAGATTGTCAACACCAGAATTTACTCACTTAATATTTCCATGGAAAATTCATTGGTGTCCTACAAGACAGTTGCAAACCATAATAACCAGATTTCGATGTCGTGTACCCCCATTAAATTTCTATTCGCCAAGGCTGGTCTGGCGATATCACCACTATGCAACTTTTGTTCAGAATATGGAACAATAGAGCACTATTTTTTATCTTGTCGCTAATACAAATTGCTCAGGAAAACATTCTTAATCCTCCCATTCGCTAGCCTGGGGCTGAATTTCACTATAAAAAACATACTTTCCTTCGGTGCTTACGATCTGGGCTTAAGCCACGAGAACGTTTTCTATGCAGTTTGCAAGTACCTTAATGAAAGTAAAAGAATTAAGCTTTTAATTGAGTGATTATTATTCATGCAAAAAAGTTCCAACATACACAAGAGCATTGTTCAACCATGCTGATTCCTATTCAAGGTAATGAATAATTGTCTTATCTGAACGAGTGACCAACAATCATTGCACTTCTTTTATTCTGCCTAGGGTGTCTTTTCTTTTTTCTCTTTTTTCTTGTGGGTGGTTTCGATATTGAACAAAAAACTTACTGAAATAATCATTGCTTTTTCGCCGACCCCCCTGAAACGGTACGAGCCATGACTGTGGAAATTCATTATCATCATCGTCTTTGGTGTTCTCCTGAAACGTTCCACGACCATAGTCCTTTTTAGTTGTGGGCACAGGTTCGCCCTTTAATAAATACGTTTTATTACACCCCGAGTCCTTCAACATTGTTACATTATGACGCAATATGTCATCCATTTAAGCAGTCGAAGTAACCAGCCTGGCGCATGGCGACAGCACGAAGACGGGCTCTGCACCCGTGCTTGTGGTGTAGTGGTAATCACATCCGCCTTACACGCGGAAGGTCCCCGGATCTAATCTGGCTGGCACATGTTTTTTTTTCGGACGCGTTTGTACAAATGGTTTGTTTTTATTCTCTCACAAGTGTAAGAACACATTTTCAGCATCTCTAGAAAAATTACTTCAAGTAGTGATATAAACGTCCCTGATGTCTCCGAAATAGACGAATATGTATTCTTTTTTCCTACGCAGCACAGGGACCTATACAAATGACCCTGTAGCTGTTTGAGCCCCCACGTTTGACGAAACGTTACGGCACATGTGACGCAATATGTCGTCTTTTTAAGCAGTCACAGTAAACGGTGTGGCCAATGGCGACAGCACGAATACGTGTTCTCCACCCGTGCTTTTGGTGTAGTGGTAATAACATCCGCCTAAAACGCGGAAGGTACCAGGATCGATCCCTGGCAGGCACTTGTTTTTTTTTTTTGGACGCGTTTCTACAAATGGTTTGTGTTTATTTCCTCAAAAGTGTTAGAACACGCTTTCAGGATCTCTAGAATAATCACTTCAAGTAGTGATCATAACGTCCCTGATGTCTCCGAAATAGACGAATATTTATTCATTTTTCCTACGAAGCACAGGGACCCATACAAATGACCCTGTAGCTGTTTGAGCCCCAACGTTCGGGAACGTTACGGCACATATGATGCAATAGGTCATCCATTTAGGCAGTCACAGTTACCGGTATGTCCCATGGCGACAGCACGAATACGTGTTCTGCACACGTGTTTGTCATGTAGTGGTAATCACATCCCCCTAACACGCGGAAGGTGCCACGTTCGATCCCTGGCAGGCACATATTTTTATTTTTTGGACGCGTTTTTACAAATAATTTGCGTTTATTTTCTCACAAGTGTACAAACACATTTTCAGGATCTCTAGAAAAATAACTTCAAGTATTGATAAAAAAGTCCCTGATATCTCCGAAATAGATGAATATGTATTTGCTTTTCCTAAGCAGCACAGTGACCCATATGATTGACACTGTAGCTGTTTGAGCCCCCAAGTTTGAGAACGTTACGGCACATATTGCCGCGACATATTGCCTGCATTCAAACAACGCGCCCATCAACGCGCGCACAGGGACATACATGCGCGCCCTCTAATGTTGCGCAGAGACAATGAAGATAGCACGAGAACCCAGCTGGCCCCGGCTGATGTGCGGCACGCGCTTGGGACTCCTCTTGAAGAAGTAGAAGAAGGCAGACATATTTGCTGTCGTATTTGGGTGCGTATTGTTCTCAGGTGGCCCTGCTTATAAAATAAAGCCTCTTGTTATACCGGAACGAGAAGCCTTAAGATTGTGTCTAGGACTTCCTAGGTTTGTAACAAACAATGTTTTGTATCGGGAAGCACGATTACCTACATGGCCTTGCCGTTTTCGTATCCTAACGGTTCAGGCGTTTCTGAAATTTTATAGCTATGCGCCAAGACGATCTGAATATAATTTATAAATGACCCAGGCAGCTTTTTTCTTGCCCATTGGCCACGCTTTCGAACACCTCAAATTTCTTTTGTCCAGAAACAACTAGATAGGTTAAATGTAAAAATTCAAGATGTGATTGCGGCACAGGTTACAAACCAAATTCATAAGTTAGAATTCGATGAGATTTTTCCCTCTAAGCCCAAATTACAATCCTATATGGTCCTAAATAGCTGACTGCAGGATTATCTTGCACACGCAGAAACAAATAATATATAGCCACAAATGCTTCAGTAATGGATGAAAAGACTGGTGCAGGTATATACTCCCATTCGCTTGACTGGTCTTTTTCATCAAGATTACCGCGTTTCAGCCCAGTTTTTGAAGCTGAACTGTTGGCAATAGTTCTAGCGCTGCGAAAGCTACCTTTGAATGCCGCTAACGCGATCATAATCACGGATTCCCTGTCAGTATGTACGTCGATTACGGCGTCAACAAAATCGATGGCCTTAAAGACGCTCCTTATGCTAGTTCCTCCTCAGCTGCAGCTACTGAAATTAGTATGGGTACCCGGTCATTGCGGCTTAGAAGTAAATGAAATCGCCGAATCTCTAGCACGAGCAGCATTGGAAGGGCCAGTACTATCAGTCCTTCCCGAAGTGACCACTATAACTGCGACAAGATACAGAAAACTTGCGCTTAGTGCAGACGCTATGAAAGCAATACTGTCAAACCAGAATTTACTCACTTAAGATTTCCATGAAAAATTCATTGGTGTCCTACAAGACAGTTGGAAACCATAATAACCAGATTTTGATGCCGTGCCCCCCCGTTAAACTTCTATTCGCATAGGGCTAGTCTGGCGTTATCAGCACTATGCAACTTTTGTTCAGAATTGGAAGCAATAGAGCACTATTTTTTATCATGCCGCCGATACAAATTGCTCAGGAAAACATTCTTAATCCTCCCATTCGCTGGCCTGGGGCTGAATTTCACTATATAAAACATACTTTCCTTTGGTGCTTACGATCTGGGCTTCAGCCACGAGAACGTTTTCTATGCAGTTTGCAAGTACCTTATAGATAGTAAAAGAATTAAGCTTTTAATTGCGTGATTATTATTCGTGGAAAAAAAATTCTACATACACAAGAGCATTGTTTAACCATGCTGATTCCTATTCAAGGTAAAGAGAAATTGTCTTATCTGAACGAGTGACAAACAACCATTGCACTCCTTTCATTCTGCCTAGGGTGTCTTTTCTTTTTTTTTTCTGGTGGGTGGTTTCGATATTGAAAAAAAACTTACTGAATTAAGTCATCGATTCTTGGCCAATCCCCCTGAGTGGGTACGAGCCATGACTGTCGAATCATCATCATCATCATCATATTTGGTGTTCTGCTGAAACAATCCACGACCATATTGTCTTTTAGTTGTGGGCACAGGTTCGCCCTTTAATAAATACGTTTTATTACATCCCGACTCCTTCAAAAATGTTAGAAGATGACGCAATATGTCGTCCATTTAAGCAGTCAAAGTAACCAAGCTGGCGCATGGCGACAGCACGAAGACGTGCCCTGCACCCGTGCTTGTGGTGTAGTGGTAATCACATCCGCCATGCACGCCGAAGTTCCCAGGTTCGATCCCTGGCAGGCACATGTTTTTTTTTATTTTTCGGACGCGTTTCTACAAAGAGTTCGCGTTTATTTTCTCACAAGTGTAACAACACATTTTCAAGATCTCTAGAATAATCATTTAAGGTAGTGATAAAAACGTCCCTGATGTCTCCGAAATAGACTAATGTGTATTCATTTTTCCTACTCAGCACAGAGACCTATGCAAATGACCCTGTAGCTCTTTGAGCCCCCACGTTTGAGGAAACGTTACGGCACATGTGACGCACTATGTCGTCTTTTTAAGCACTCACAGAAAACGGTCTGGCCCATGGCGACAGCACGAATACGTGTTCTCCACCGGTGCTTGTGGTGTAGTGGTAATCGCATCCGCCTAACACGCGGAAGGTCCCAGGATCAATCCCTGGCGGGCGCATGTTTTTTTAGGACGCGTTTGCAGAAATGGTTTGTGTGTATTTTCTCACAAGTGTACGAACAATTTTCAGGATCTCTAGAATAATCACTTCAAGTAGTGATATAAACGTCCCTGATGTCTCCGAAGTAAATGAATATGTATTAGTTTTTCCTACTCAGCACAGGCACCCAAACAAATGACACTGTAGCTGTTTGAGCCCCCATGTTTCAAGAAACGTTACGGTACATATGATGCAATAGGTCATCCGTTTAGGCAGTCACAGTAACCGGTCTGGCCCATGGTGACAGCACGAATACGTGTTCTGCACCCGTGCTTGTCGTGTTGTGGTAATCACATCTGCCTAACACGCGGAAGGTCCCACGTTCGATCATTTGCATGCACATGTTTTTTTGCACGCGTTAGTACGAATAGTTTACATTTATTTTCTCACGAGTGTACGAACACAGTTTCATGATCTCTTGAAAAATCACTTCAAGTAGTGATAAAAACGTCCCTGATATCTCCGAAAACGATGAATATGTATTTGTTTTTTCTACGCAGCACAGGGACCTATACAAATGACACTGTAGCTTTTTGAGCCCCCAAGTTTGAGAACGTTGTGGCACATTATGCCGCGACATATTGCCTGCATTCAAACAACGCACCCATCACCGCGCGCAAAGGGACATACATGCGCGCCCTCTAATGTTGTGCAGAGACGATGATGAGAGCACGAGAAGCCAGCTGGCCCCGGTTGTTGTGCGCCACGCGCTTGGGACTCCTCTTGAAGAAGTAGAAGAAGGCAGACATCTTTGGTGTTCTGCTGAAACGTTCTACGACCATGGTCCCTTTGAGTTCTGGGCACAGGCTCGCCCTTTAATAAATGCGTATTATTACACCCCGAGTCTTTCAGCATTGTTACAATATAACGCAATATGTCATCCATTTAAGCAGTCAAAGTAACCAGTCTGGCGCATGGCGACAGCATGAACACATGCTCTGCACCTGTGCTTGTGGTGTAGTGGTAATCACATCCGCCAAACACGCGGAAGGTCCCAGGATCGATCCCTGGCAGGCACTTGTTTTCTTTTTCGGACGCGTTTGTACAAATGGTTTGTGTTTATTTTCTCACAAGTGTAGGAACACACTTTCAGGATCTCTAGAATAATCACTTCAAGTAGTGATATAAGCGTCCTTGATGTTTTTGTTTCAGCTCCCGTTATTTAGAGAGGTGATCGCCGGGCTAATTCCAAGGCCGAAGTCTTGGCCCCCCGAACTGCACCACGAAAGCACGGAATATTTTGAAGTGGTCCTATTTGGCACGTCAGTGGACGCCGGCGGTGGCCCAAAGCACTAGTCAGAGCCGAGAGTTGATAAACAAAACCAAACTATATTCTCAAACGTGGCAGATCAAAAGATACACAAATATGCACACTCGCCAACAGTTGAATACGATATGTCTCTAATAAACAACGTACTACACAGTACAATCAGCCACACTCGAAACAACGGACACAAACAACAATATGCACTACAATGCATTCGCATGCATCGAACAACCAAGACACTTAAAGACTAAAGAGCTCAAAAACCTATTCAGTTCAATGTTCTTGAAACAAAGTCCGAATGATACTCTTCCAAGAATCACTCACTCAAATTACAGCGCTGTTGTCGTTCCGCTGCCCCTGAAGTTTCTCTTCCAGGAAACCTCGCGTCTTCAATTGGCCGCTCTCCAAGCACCAAACTTCTTCGCCGGTAACACGTCGGCTTCCCACGCGCAGCTGTTGCTGCGCGTCTTCGCTTCCTGGCGGTAGACACTCTCTTCTGCTTGTAGCACGAGTCTTCACCCCTCAGGTGGAAATCCTCTTCATTACCTTCTTTGTCTCTGAGGACAGAGCCTTTGCGGACGACACGGCGGAAACACCCTACGCACTTTGGCGCATACTTTCTTCTTCTCCTGTTCTCTTATTTCTGCTGCTCAAATAAATACCATCTGCGCTAGATTCCAGAAACTTCTCAACGTTTCGTCGGCGCGATGCACAGCCAAGGCTGGGGAAAGAGCGAGAAGCTTCGAGGGCCGTCTAACACTCGTGACGAAACTCCACATCACCCCGCCCCTTCCTTCGAGAACCTTCCAAGGCTTGCTCCGCCACCACTGTGAGGAGGTTGCCCGGCCAGACTACGCTTTCGATAGAGAGAGACAACGCGCCCAGGGAGTTTTTGGATGCTCGTTTTCTTCTTTATTTTCGACCTTGAGGCGTCTCTCGGCGCTTGGTATCGTTACTGTTGCTAGAATTCCGCGGCACGCGCTTTTTCGGAGCGTTCGTTTGTGACAGTCTCCGAAATAGACGAATATGTATTCGTTTTTTCTACACCACGCTGAGACCCATACAAATGACCCTGGAGCTGTTTTAGCCCCCAAGTTTGAGAACGTTACGGCACATATGATGCAATAGGTCACCCTTTTAAGCACTGACAGTAACCAGTCTGGCACATGGCGACAGCACGAAGAGGTGCTCTGAGCCTGCCTTGTGGTGTAGTGGTAATCACATCCGCCTTACACGCGGAAGGTCCCAGGTTCGATCTCTGGCAGGCAAATGTTTTTTTTTTATTTTTTGGACGCGTTTGTACGAACAGTTTGCGTTTATTTTCTCACAATTGTAAGAACACACTTTCAGGATCTCTAGAATAATCACTTCAAGTAGTGATAAAAACGTCCCTGATGTTTTCGAAATAGACGAATATGTGTTCGTTTTTCCTAGGCAGCACAGGGACCCATACAAATGACCCTGTAGCTGTTTGAGCCCCCACGTTCGAGGAAACATTACGGCACAGGTGACGCAATATGTCGTCTTTTTAGGCAGCCACAGGAACAGGTCTGGCAGATGGCGACAGCATGAAGACGTGTTCTGCACCCGTGCTTGTGGTGTAGTGATTCCACTTTCGGCCGCGATAGCGAGCGGACGCGTTTGGAATGGGCTCTGTCGGAGCGGTATCAGCAGCCGTTTCTGACTGCGGAAACAGGGTGATAGCTGCGTCGGACAACGAGTACCGTGTTGTACTGCCTAGTCTCCCTTCAGGACGTCTGGTTTTGAATACTGTTTTCGTGCATGCGGATGTAAGGGCACGGCCCTACCGTGTAGAACTAACTCAGGGATACTATGAGTGATTTGAAACTGCTCTCCGAGGTTACGGCCTTGTGGGCGTATCAAATGAATCACGTTTGGGCCATCACGTTCAAATGTGCCGAAGGTGCGAAGAGGCTACTGGAAAAAGCAGAAGTGAAAGTGAAGGGACAGCGTTGCCTCCTCATCGATCCATCGAGCCAGGAGCTTCGGTTGAAGCTGCACTGGCTCTTGCCTACCATACCGGACGACGACGTGCGAGCGGCCTTCCTGAACTATGGCAGAGTGACGGACATTATCATGGAACGGCGGAAGGTCAGTGGTGTGGCTGACAAAGTGTCAACGACGCGAAATGTGACGATGACACTTAAGGCGGGAGTCAAGCCAGAAGATTTGTCCCATAAAATAAGAATTGCTGGTAAGCTGGCTCTTGAGGTGGTGCCGGGAAGGGCACCGCTATGCCTTCGTTGCCAGTGAACCGGACACATTCGTCGGGACTGTAAGGTACCACGGTGCACGTTGTGTCATCGCTTTGGACAAAACGAGTCGGGATGCGTGCGTACCTACGCCAGTGTTGCAGGGCCCGTGGGGAGCGACGACACTTCGGAGCTCCTAATGGACGAAGCAGATTTCGAGGCAGCAGCGAGAGTGGAGGCATAAAGTGCCACGATGGACAGCGTGCCAGCTGAGCAAATCTCAGGTTAGAGAGCTAGAGTAAAGTTGACTAACCTCAAAGCCGAAGATACATTGTTGGTGAAAAATGATTCTTCGGAAGCACTGCAGACGCAGGAAGACAAAAGCAACGTGACATAGGTGGTCAACAGGGAAGTAGTGGAGGAAATGGACATTTCCAAGGAGGGCACCACGACGAATAAGCGATAACACGAACGCGTCGAGGGAGAGAGTGAATCTACCAACCCAAGCAGTCCCGGTGAACCTTCAGCAAAAGCAGCCCCTGTACGTCGACCGACAGTGTGGCCACGGCCGAACATCCCACAGGATCGGAGGCCGACGGCAACGACGATGCCGCCGCCACCGCCACCGGTCACGAAGCAGTAAGCTGTGGAAGCCCCGACCTATGTCGTGGGCCCCAAAGTCATGTGTAGACAGGAGCATAAGCCCATACTCTGGGTCTCTATTATAAATTATTCCAATGGTGCTGCCAGAGAAACCCTTGCGATTGGCTACAATCTATGTTCGGGAAATTGCGGCGAGTAGAAAACAACGACAGTTGTATAGACTGGTGATCGAATATGATTTAGACATTATTGCCATACAAGAAACCAAAATTGGAAGTGATGATGAGACCAAGAGTATGGTGCTACCTATCATGTCAATGTACTACGCGGGTGTGAGTCATGCCATAGGGCGATCCGCGGGGTGCGTTCTGTTTGTGCGCCAACAGCCGGGCCCAGAAATAAAGGATGTGAGGTCAGACTTGGCGGGGCGTATGGTTTTTGTGTGATTTTCGTTGTGGTTCAGTTGAATGGCGAGTGATATGCCTTTATGCTCCTAATTTACTCGACGAACGAAGACATTTCTTCGAGAGTGTCAGAAATTACTGCAACGTCGAAAGGAACCTGGTACTGATGGGGGACTTCGATTGTGTACTGGCAGCGCGTGATAAATCAAGTGGTACAGCGTATAGAGACGCCAACACGGCCGAGCTTCACAAAATAATTGATGAATATGGGCTTGAGGACGTAGCAGAATGCTTGGATTACGACCGCATTGTGCGCTTCACGCATTATCAAGCAGCCAGCCACGCCCGACTGGACAGAGTGTACGTTCCGGCTGAATTGATAGCACTTGCGCAAGAATATCGTTTGCAGTCGGTGTCATTTAGTGAGCACTGTCTAGTCATGTTTGACGTTAATAACAAAGTGAACAACCGAA